CACACACACACACACACACACACACACACACACACACACACACACACGTATGACATCTTAACTCTGCATTTTATCCATACTTAGTTCAGATATCCATTTACCACTGAAATTGCAAATATTTTGGGGACATGTAATTTCCAGGGCCATGTTTTATTCTACAGGTAGTCACTCACCCTTTCAAAACTATTGAGCTTCAGATGAAGAAGAAGGGATTCAAGATGGAGGTGGGACAGTATATTTTTGTCAAGTGCCCCCAGGTATCCAAGCTGGAGTGGCACCCATTCACACTGACCTCTGCTCCTGAGGAAGACTTTTTTAGCATTCATATCCGTATTGTGGGAGACTGGACAGAGGGGCTATTCAATGCTTGTGGCTGTGATAAACAAGAGTTCCAAGATGCCTGGAAACTTCCTAAGTGAGTATAGAACACATATTGCAAATGTGTATGCATTTGGGAGAAATGGTGCTAAGTGGTTGTGATTCCCCCATATCTCAACACATGATCTTCTCAGTGACAAGGTGCCGTCGTTCAAAAACACAGGAGTGTTTCTCTGTATTTATCATTGCATGTGGTATGTGGTATGTCTACGCATATGATTAGATATCTTGGATGAACGATAAAGCATTGCGGTTAGTACTGCCCTCAACTTTCTTTTGAATATGTAAAGGTTAAGACCAAGTTATAGTACCTTTTTTTGCTGACAAAGAAACATATTATCAGAGATATTTTTAAATTTTTAAATGATATCATTTGTTTGAAAATATTCTTTGCTTTGCACACTTGCCTAATGCAGTATTGGAGACTCGGTAGAAACTAAAGAACAGGTTTATGAATTGTTTAATGAATAAGCAAGTGGAAAGCAGTGCTGTTAAACTATGTTATTGTATAAAGAAGTCTTACTTAAATGCGTAATGCAATTAGGCACTTCAAATTTAGATTGCCTTGCCAAGTGTGAGGCCCATGCCTAGAATCCCAGTACATGGGAAGAGAAAGCATGAAGATCAGGAGTTCAAGGTTCTCCCTGATGACACAGAAACTTTGAGGCTATCCACATGATCTCTTGGTTCAAAACACAAACAAACAAGGGGCCATGGCTTGATGAGAAGGAGAGCTTGCTGTGCAGGCCAGATGCCCTGAGTCCAGTCCCCCATGAATCCCATTGTTGAAGGAGAGAAACTCCTGAATGTTGTTCTATGACCTCATGTATGCTTTGGCATAGGCATACACATGATGATGATGATGATGATGATGATGATGATGATGATGATGATGATAGTATCAAGTGTAGTTTTCCATAACAGGAGAATGTGAGCTGAAGAGATGACTCAGAGCACTAGCTGTTCTTCCAGAACACCTGTGTTGGATTCTCAGCACTCACAATGGTCTGTAACTCCAGCTCCAGGAGACCCATCATCCTTTTATAGCCTCTATGAGCACAAGGCATACACATGGTACCCAGACATACATGCAGGCAAAACACCCATACACAATCAATAAAAATAAAGAAATATAAAGAGGTGTTTGTGTATGTGTGAGTGTGTGTATGTGATTGTGTGTGTGTAATAGGGAAAGAAGAGTAAGAAAATGAAAAAAAATGTTTATGTTAATCTAGCAAAGATTTTCAGATAGCTAATCATTCATAATCTACTGTGCAGATGGATGCATCTATAACTATCCCCTTTCCTTTCCATTCAGAATAGCAGTTGATGGGCCCTTTGGCACAGCCAGTGAAGATGTGTTCAGTTATGAGGTGGTGATGCTAGTGGGAGCAGGGATTGGAGTCACACCTTTTGCTTCCATTCTCAAGTCTGTTTGGTACAAATATTGTGAGAATGCCACCAATCTGAGGCTCAAAAAGGTAAATTCCTCTGATTTTCTGGAGAGCCTGTATTACACATCACTCTCTGAAAAGGTTATCAACTAAATCAATGTGTTTGTATATAAACAGACCTGTTAATAAAACTAATATGCTGCATTTGTCTATTAGAATTATGAAATCAGCAAAGTTGAGAAAAGAGGAAGTAGTTAGAAATCCAGCCCAACAACTACACTTTGAGTGTGCATATGCATGAGCACGTGAACACACACACACACACACACACACACAAACACACACCACAAACAGTGCTGAGGGTGGCAGCAAACTCCAGGTGTGCTAGTCAAGTGCTCTACCACTGAGTTACACCTCCACCCCCCTGAGTATTCTTTTCTAGTTTTCCCTTTGCAAAGTTACATAGCTTTAGAAATTCATAAATATTAAATATGTACAATTTAATACCTTGGTTTCCAGAATGTTTAAATAGAAAGTGATTGCACAACTGGAGATGGAACTCAGGGCATTACCACTGCTAGTCAAATGCTGAACCACTAAGACACAACTTCACACTCATTTCACTTTTTAAAAAAGATTTATTATTTATTTATTATTTATACAGGTTTCTGTCTGTGTGTGTGTCAGCAGGCCAGAAGAGGCCACCAGATCTCACTATAGATGGCTGTGAGCCACCATGTGGGTGCTGGGAATTGAACTTAGGACCTCTGGAAGAACAGCCAGTGCTCTTAACCTCTGAGCCATCTCTCTAGCCCTATTGTTTCACTTTTTATATTGGGACAGAAATGCACTAAGTTGCTTACTGTGTAGCACAGGCAGGATCCTCCCTCCTCAGCCTCCAATACAGTTTTGATTACAGAACTGAAGAATTGAGATTATACTACAATGGCAAGCCAAATTCTGCATTATATAATGAAACTGACTCTATTTTTACCTGCTCAATACTGCTTTTTAGCAGAATAGGGCAGGAGAAATGGAACTTCTTACTTGTTCATGGATGTCTCCTGGTGATAAATTTCCAGGGGATTGTTACATACCAGTTACTTGATGAAAGATGCATTGTAAACCTCAATTTATTCTAGTAAGTGTTAAGATTGGTTCTGATAGGGACATCCAGCCTAGCTTCACATTTCATTTTTCTATTTTACCTATTTTCTATGTGAGAAAGATATGTGTAAAACTATTTTCTTCCTAGGAATTAGGGAAGGTCTGGCAGTGCCAGGAAGGGAAGATGTCCTGTAACAGCAACTCTGTTGATTCCTTTGGCCTTTCTCAGAGCAGATACAAAGGAAGCTGGGGATTCTGGGAGAGGAACAACAGCTAGTGGAGGAAAAGCAGGGAGTCACAAGTGGGGATTAGCTATGTATTTGAAAGCCTAAACCACTAATTTATTAATTTAGTTTTAAATAGTTATTTTTATTTATATCAGTGTGCTTGTTTTGTTCATGCATGCATGCATATGCATGTACCACTTATGTAGGGGTGCCACTAAAGACCAGAAAAGTTCATCAGATGCTGTTGCGCATGAATAACTTGGCACAGATGCGGGGAACAGAACTTTGATCCCCTGGAAGCGCAAAAAGCACTCTTAACCACTGAACCACCTCTCCTGCAGCTCCTGAAAAACTATTATTTACTGATCTGCCTGCTTGAAGTTCAGAGAAGGTGTATGCAAACTAGCCTATGAAGTATCCATACTGTGGAAATACACAACTGCAATCCCAGCACTTGAGAGGCAGAAACCAGAGGTTCCCGAGTCTTGGAGTAACCTAGGTTATATTAAAGACTCTGCCCTGAAACAATGACATACATAGCCAGGTTTCTGAAAACCTTTTTCTAGGCATTCTGGGTATCATGAGAAAGCTTAGAATACTAGATACGCATTTGTTGAAGCTGATATAATCTCATTTGTGGCCCTTCCTTCTTCAGATTTACTTCTACTGGCTATGCAGGGACACACATGCCTTTGAGTGGTTTGCAGACCTGCTGCAGCTGCTGGAGACCCAGATGCAGGAAAGGAACAATGCTGACTTCCTCAGCTACAACATCTACCTTACTGGCTGGGACGAGTCTCAGGTGAGGACAAGAATCCAGTTCTCGGGTTCCTAGTGTGTCCAGAGGGTGCTACCTTCCTTTCCACTTCTTGGTATGTTCCATATACTACTTCCACCCCTCATCCACCAAGAAGAGTACAAGTGACCCTGTTTGCTCACACTCGCTCAGCATCGCCTTAAGAAATTTAGACCATTGTGATTCCAAACTAAGGGGCCTGTGTTGATATTAGAACACTGTTCCCACCAAGAATCTGGAATCTCAAAGCAGATAGACAAAAGTCACCAAACGGTAACTGGGAGGAAAATCTATTCTCCTTTCTTTTCATATTTTATAATATGTTATGTATACATAATTTATACATTATGTATATTTTATGATATATTCAATAAATTTTTATTCAGTCATTCCATATACTTGAGGTTCAGCATCTATATATTCCATCTACTTAATCAAAATATTTGGGAGAAAAATAACCATGCTGAACATATATTCTTTTTCTAGTAATTGCTCCCTAAACAATACAGTATAACAACTACATAGGGTTTGCATTGTATGAGGTATCATAAGTAATCTAGACATGATTTAAGTATGACTTAAGCATTTATGGATTTTGGTATCAAAGGTTCAGGTTTTTACAACCAATTCTTTGCAGAGACTGAATTCTGTCTAGGCATTGTTTTTAGGGTTTATATGAATTGTCAAACTTTATGTTCTCAGCAACCCTATGATAAAGTAACTACTTTATCATTTTATTGATGAAGAGTAGAAAGCCTAGAAGTGATTAGGTCATTTGCATAAAGGCACCCAGAAAATAAGTGGCAGAGTCCAAATGTTCCAGAGCCTACACCCCACAACTACCAGATTATTTATAACAAATGTACCAACACATATCTGATGAAAAAAATTGAATATATATTATATATGTATATATGAGTATATGGCATGAAAATATTTGGAGACTACTAAAATAAAATAAGTCAGTTGTTTTCAACTGAAGGCAATGTAGTCTCCCACCAAGAACAGTTAGCAATATAAGCATACTATAATATACAGGGTTAAGAAATACCATATGGCCAAGTGTGGTAGCACCTGCCTTTAATCCCAATACTCTTGGAGGCAGAGGCAGGAGGATCTCTGTGAGTTTGAAGCCAGCCTGGTCTACAAAACGAGTCCTGGACATCCAGGACTACACAGAGAAACCTTGTCTCAAAAAAAGAAAGAAAGAAAGAAAGAAAGAAAGAAAGAAAGAAAGAAAGAAAGAAAGAAAGAAAGAAAGAAAGAAAGAAAGGAAGGAAGGAAGGAAGGAAGGAAGGAAGGAAGGAAGGAAGAAAGAGAAAGAAAGAAGAAAAGAAAATATTGTCTGAAGCCTCTAGGGCCTATAATGGTTAGTTATAAATGTCAGAATGGGAAGAGAGTCTCAATTTATTGAACATTTAGATAAAACTTGCCTATAGGCATATCTGTGGGCGGTTGTCTTAGTTACTAATTGATGTGGGAATATGCAGCCCATTGTGGGTGGCACCATTCTTTGGGCAAGGGTCCCTGAACTATATAGGGCAGAGGAAAATTACATAGAAGCAGGCAAGCAAGCGGCATGGGTGCATGGCTTTCTTCCTCCTCTTGACTGTGGATCTAGATAGCTGTTTCACATTCTTGCCACCTTGACTTCTCCACAGTGATGGCCTGTAATCTGGAATTGTGAGCCAAATAAACCGTTCCTCTCCTAAGTAATTTTTTTTCATAATACTTTCTGACAGAGGTAAGAAAGGGAACTAGGACAGGCTCCCTGCAGTTTGATTATGTCTTTCTTAGAGGGCAGTATGGTTCTTGGAGGCAGAAGTAGAACCTCACCCTTTTGAGTCAACAGGGAGGAAATAGTTAACTATCGTATTATCTGGGTTAATCTTGAAGTCAGATAAAACTTGCTTTATGTGACCTTGAGGTTAGGCTATATCTAAGACAGGAAGGAATAATGACTAACTGCGTTTATTGTCATCAGTTTACATTTTTGTTTTGCTGGCTTAGGACCAAAAAAGACGAGTTAATTGTGTTTTGGGGGTCAGTTTCCCTTTGGCTCCATGGCCTCTAGGAATAGGGTTCTTGGTGTGTATACATCTCATTCAGGAGACAACAGTTATTTCATCTTTGTTTGTGCTGTATTTCCTTTTCTCTTTTACCTTGTAGTTTAGGCTGGCCTTATTTGGATTGTAGAAGAGGATTTTTCTCTTTAATGCAGGGGACTCTTGCTTCAAATGATGTCTCACTTATACCTGAACTTTTACAAAGATTTTTACAAAAAGGCATCTTCTGTAAAAGGAGTTAATGATCATTGCCTATGGCATTTGTCTCATAAGAAACTGACTTACTGGTATCCACTTATCTAGTTTAGAATCTGGATAGCAGATAGGTACAGAGGACCCTTTCATTCCCTTTCTTATGGAATAACACCCTTATCATCATAATGTGTGCACGTGCACATGTACATATGTGTATGTAAGTGGTAAAAGCTTGATTTGTGAAATGTGTGTGTGTCATACCATGTTTGTTTGTTTGTCTTCTGAATTTGCTACAGGCCAATCACTTTGCTGTACACCATGATGAGGAGAAAGATGTGATCACAGGCCTAAAACAAAAGACTCTATATGGACGGCCCAACTGGGATAATGAGTTCAAGACAATTGCAAGTCAACACCCTAAGTAAGGAGTCCTCTACTAAAGTGTTCTTGAAAGTTGCAGTCTGCCTAAAGTAGCAGCTCCTAAGTACTGACTGTACTTTATAGTCTAAAAGTTAGCAGTGACCTTTCCATAATTCTATGGAGAGGTTGAATTCTTACCCAACAAGTGTTTGATCTCTGACTTTAAGAAACAAAATTTTTTTAATTTTTATTTTATTATTTTTACAATTTATTTACTTTGTATTCCAATTGTAGCCCCCTCCCTCAGCTCCTCCCGGTACCACCCTCCATCCCTCTTCTCTTCCTATGGCCCTCTACTAGTCCACTAATAGAGGAGGTCCTACTACCCTAACTATCTGACCTCAGCCTATCAAGTCTCATCAGTACTACCTGGATCCTCTTCCTCTGTGGTCTGGTAAGGCCACCCCATGAGGGGGAAGTAATCACAGAACAGACAAACAAGTTCGTGTCAGAGATTGCCCCTGCTCCCCTTACCAGGAGGGGACAGGAGATCCACCTGGAGACCAACAAAGAAACAATCTTTAAATCATAGCAAAATTACATGGAGAATAATTTTCTCAATGTCCTAACACAAGCTTTACCATAGCATTTCTTTTCTTTAGCTGTCCACATTTCAGTAGTGTATACCTTTATTTTAAATAGTGAGTATAGCTTATACTTACTATTATGGATGTAATACCTTCACTTTCAGTTCAAGTTTCTGAGTTTAAAGTCATATGTTGACAGATATGTTCTTTTCTGTAGTCACGAGAGTTTTAGCCATCATGAAGCCTTGAGGAAATTCTCATCTCCTAGGATAAATGAAAACTCAAGCGCTTTCCATAAGTATATATTTTTGAATAGATATGGCAAACACTTACACCTGCCATTGTAACATGATGTTCTGATCTACAAATGTTTTGGGCTGCCTCAATAGGTATTCTCAGATGCATGTGGCCCATTGGCCCCAGGTTTGATACACCTGCTTTATCTGAACCTTTGCTTTCTACATTTTGATGATCACATAATTACCTTGCTCTGTTTTTACATATAGACTCTAATTTATTAGGTCTCAAGAGGGCCCCAGGAATGTACATTATTAAAAACATGATGGTTTTTTAGATGACATGGGACCACATTTTGCAAAGCAAGGATTTCAACTGCAAGACTTCCAAGGGACGAAGTTGCTGTCAGAGTTAGGGCACCCAATGAGGGTTTGTTACTGATTTCAAAATACTAGAAATATTTGTGGAGGGAGAGACTAAAATCTTACAGAAAAGTATACTGTAGCTTCACATATTACCTATTATATTTTTGTGGTAGAAATTTCCAAAAAACTCTACTTGGATCTAATTTTCTGGCATATCAAATACTTTTGAGTTTTCCAGCTGTCCCTATATTCAGATTCGAGCATGCTCTTTGTAAGTTATTTGAGCATTTTTGTCATTTGCAGCAAAGAAACAGGACTAGAAAGGCCTCTACTTAGTAGGAAATTTACCCCCCTACTTTGCTGCCCAACTCATGCCAAAGCCTAAAACTTTCTTTTCTTTCTCTGAAGCACCAGAATAGGAGTTTTCCTGTGTGGCCCTGAAGCTTTGGCTGAAACCCTCAGTAAACAGAGCATCTCCAACTCTGAGTCCGGCCCACGTGGAGTACACTTCATTTTCAACAAGGAAAACTTCTAACACGGCTCTTTCATGAGGAAACAAGTGTATGCTGCAAAATGCCTCAATATTGCCAGTTGATTTATGAGTTACATCTTCTGAGGAAAGGAGGAGCAAAGGAAGCCATAATGACACAGCAGCCCTCTTCCCTAAAAAGAATTCCAAGTTTGCTAGTCATAGGTCACATTTGCATGGAGCATCATGGCTTTCAGAGTATTTTTCACAAACATTGTTATGTTGCATTATTTCATATTTTCCTCTGCCATGCCAGAAGACAGTAAGGCAAAAGAATTTTCTGGGATTCGTTTTGGGATAAACAATAGGAGCTCAAATGATTTCATCACCTTTCGTCAGATTCAAAAACAAAAACCAGATCTATGCCATCTGATTCCAAGTGTAGTAATCCTTCCACATTTAATACCAGGTTGTGTCAGGAATCAGTTTTTATACCTTCCCCCAACAAAAAGCAGATCAAAGGGTAGATCACCATTCCTCATCTTTAACATTAACATCATGCTAAAAGAGACTTTTTATAGAGGGGATAATGATGCTTATAGTGACTTAATTCTTATTAGTGACAGTATTGACATAGAAGTATATTCCAGTTTTCCAGCACAACAGACTAACTAGGTCAGAGATTATTCCTACGAAGGAGTATTAGACTGATTGGAGTTAAGGTAGCACTCTGCATTTAGCATGGAGTTTGGCATAACACGTGTTTGAGGTACCATTGAATGGATGAATAAATGAATGAACAAATGAAGGCAAACCTTTAGAACTATGTCAGAGTGGAATTAATTTAAGATCAGAGACAAAATTACCCTTCTGTTACTTTTACAGACCAGAGGATTCTGGTTTTCCTAGGACTAGAGAGAAAAATATGAACCAGTAGGACAGCCTGGCCTAGTGTATTCATCTCATTGTTATTTGGAGGCAGAAGGGATAAATTCAGAGACCTATCCTCCTACGATGATGCTGGCTAGCACTTCTAGTTCCAGTCTGTGAGCTGAGAAAGAAAAACATATTCGTTTACTGGCAAAAATGGTATGCTCCAGCCAACCCTTGTGAATTTTGAACTGAATTCTAGCTAATATGCAACTGAAAATACATATCCTTGAATACATTTTTTTTGCTTAAACACCCACACAAATAGATCTTATGTGTATAGATAGTAAACTTGTTTTTATTACAGCATTTTCATCACCCCCATTACCAGCATCACCATCTTTCTGAAACATAAATCCTAGGAACTCTAATCCCCAAATAACTGGGTAGATAGTGAAATCACAGCCAATATCTTATGGGTATACAGAAGTGCAAGACGAGTCCAAATCACTGCTATAGCAGTCACAAGATCTAAAACAACAGCTAAAAATGACTCCCATTTCTGGGAACTAGAAGTAGCTCTGATTGCCCCACCACCAGGGACACAAATGCTTAACTATTCAGCTTTGGTAATGAGGAAGGAAGAGTAGAGGGAAGGGCAGAGGCCTCTTTGGAGAGAAAGGGTGAAGACAACAGGAGAGAAATGAAAGTACAACACTCAAAGGGAAAAAGGCAGGGTAATGGGTCTCATAGTGGTCAAATTTCACCGTCCATTTCATTCTTTCTTCATGTCATTGAAGGACACATGCAGCTTCATCTTGTTTTGACTTAATACAATATTGAATAGCTGCAATTCTGGTCACAAAAAAATGATATTATGAGGACATTTTGAGGAGACTAGGTGAAGTGAGAGCTCAGGATGTTCCTTATATTACTGCTAACATCCTTAGGACACTGAAAGATGATTCTACCAAACAAGGCCTTTCTAGATGCTCACATGGTGCCATGAGAATTGTTGCACTTGGAGAAAGGTCCATATCCTTCATGTTGCACCATAGGCATTAGTTCATTTGTTCAACGTTCATTTATTTTGTATAATCAACATGAGTCAGATGCTGTGTGAATAGCTTTAATTGTTTGTGGCAAAGTTTGAGCTAGAGAGAGACCTCCATTACATGGAATCTGAACATACCTTTTTAACAAAAGTTGCATTAAGTAATGAGTTGCTCAAAGAATGTGTTTCCAGTTTTATTTTTTCCCTTATCCTTTATCCTTCTCTCACAATATATCTTGACTATAGCCTCCCTTTCTCCTTCTCGCAGTCCCCACCCCATACCCCTTCTTCTCCAGATCCACTGCTTTTCTGTTTCCCTTCAGAAAAGAGCAGGCCTCCCAGTGATTTCAACTGAGAACAGCATAACAAGATGAAATAAGACACAAGCCTTCATATCAAGGCTGGATGAGGCAACCCAATAGGAAGAAAAGGGTCCCATGAGCAGGCTATAGTTGATATCAACATAGCTCCCAAAACAGAGATCTAGCCCGTGTTATTCTGGTTATGAGATGGAAAATGAGTGCAAATATGCTTCATGTTTGAGAGCTTCTTTCTTTTTCCTCCCAAGCCTCCATCTCCCATCCCCCAGCTGCCAGCACAGCTCTTTCAGCACTTAGTTCTTAGAATTTAGTAACAGATAATTGACATCTGTATTTTGTAACAAATACAAAATGAAAAAATAAGGCTATAAATGATTCTTCTTAGTTTTTCCTACTTTTGCAATATTATGTTTATGGAATTTGAATACTTGCAGCCACTGTATATGAATAGTTTGGGGGAGAAAGTGTTCTAGAGATAACTTTTATAATTATTAAAGCTTGCTTGGATGCTGAAATCAGTGAGATTTCTCTATGTCTTTGTTATTGAACTTGTTATTAAAGGGTAAGTCCAACTAGCATAGATCCTGTCTTTGGCCAAGAAGGTTGTTCTAAATGAGTCCATCAGTTACAGCCCTCCCCATATAGGTACTTCGTGGAGCTGTGAACATATTTTTGGGGGCAGATCAGTTGTTGTTATCATGGGTGGAAAGAACACCATCTAAGGCAAATGGTAATAATAGAAATAGCAAATATTTATTGAGCACGTACTTCTATGCCTAATATTTGACATAAACGTCAGGTACTCCCTCAGAAACATTGCAGTGTCATTTTCACATTTAATTTCAGTGTCAATTCACCTTTAATTTTGTTAATAAGGAATCATGCAAGGAAAGATAATTGATAAGCAAAGGTCCCTCAGTTAATGGATGAATATGCCAATGTTAAAACCACATTTCTAGCAATAGGCTCTATGTTCTTTCCACTAGCAGATTAAACAAGTTTCGTGGAACCAAATTACATGCTAAGAATTGTTGGGGAATGGTGGTAGTAAATCAAGTATCTTGGTATGTCAATAAAAAACTGGATCCATGTTTATCCAGTTTTTCACTTTTAAATTAAAATAAAATAGGATACTGGAAGGAGAAAAGGGGAAGTACGAGTGATATCATTTTATTTAAAATAAAAATATACTTAAAAAAGAAGTGAATAGTCAGATGTTCTGATGCACACATGTAACAAAGTACTCAAGAGGCTCAGTTGGAATTATGACTTCAAGGCCAGGATGGCCTACATATCCAAACTCTGTTTTAACCCCTCCCCCACAGACAAAGAGTTACTTTTCTTGAAGAAAAGAAAGATCTAATGACTCAATTTAAATACACATTATTTCATTTATAAACATTTATGTCTTTCAGAAAAGGGCCAGTGATTATTGTTTGAAGTCTCTGTGTATGTGTGTGTTGTGTGTATGAGATGTAATAAATTTTCACAAGGAAGAACTGAAACTATAAAATGACAAGATTTCTCAACGTTAAGTGTTGTTCTGTAGAAAAACAACAGAATGCTGACAGTGACTAGACAACCTGACCACTGGTAATTTCTAAAGTGTAGAAAACTGATCAAACAGTTTGGCTTGGGTTTGTCTGAATGTTAGTCTTTCGTGTTGTGTTGGTGAATGAGGAATCAGGCTACACAAACTGACTGGTCCAGCTGATAATAACTAGGAATGTGGTAGCAATAACCAAGAAAACATAATATCTCAAACTGTATTAAAATGAATTTAAATCTCAAGTAATATTTTGTGGCTAACGGGAAATACTACTAATGGCAATGCATGAGAAGCCACTGTGGCCTAATTTGGGGAATTTTTCCCTGGGAACTAACAACAAATAGATTGTGCATGTCTATTTTTTGGGAAAAAACCCAAATATTATATTCTAAAACTTGATTCTTTGGAGAAGATCACAGAGTCAACAGACCTGATTTATATACGTCAAGATCAAAACATCTTCATAAATACTATAATTACACTGAAATATTAAATAATCATATATTCTATTCTATTATAATTAGATCACTTGATGGCTAAGCATCACTTCTTCTTTTCAGTTATGCAATTCCCACTTGAGTAACTATGGAATTGCTAGCAAAAAAGCTAAACATCACTCTTCAGAGTCAGATAGGGACGAGCCAAAGTACAAAAATATATCACCAATCTTTCCCAAAGCTTGTGGATCAAATTTCAGCCATGCTTGTGCTGACTGATAAGAAAAAAAATTATCTAAATATCTCTCACTGTTTTTGGATTGTGTCTTTTTTGGCTGAAAACCACCATGGTACTCTATTGGCATGGAAGTTAATTCATACCTGATGCGTAAAGGTCAGTAAGGCTAGCTAATCCTCCTGTTTTTCAGTTGTGAAATGGCTACACACTCAGAAAACCATCACACTCAGACATCTGTGTTGTCAACTACCTGCTGCATTCATTACTAGGCACTCCGTTCTGTTGGAGTACATCTAGATTGTCTGAGACCAAAGGGAACAGCAAACAAAACCATGAGCAAATCACAAAGGAAGTTGTTGCAGGATATTTGATCATATTATGACCCCCAAGACTGTACTGGACAAAACTGCTTCTATTTGTGGTGTGGCTCAGTCCTCGCATACACCTTTAATCTAAGAGCTTATTGTTTATTGTAAGTATGTAGTTGTGGTGTGGCTCAGCCCTACCTAGCACATTCCTTTAACCCAAGAGCTTTCTGTAAACAAGTTTAAATAAAGTTAACCCTAGGTCAAGAGGTGGAGCAAGAAACCAATTGACCTGGAATGAACATAGGAAAATACCATAGAGAGTGAGAGAAGTCTAGAAGACAGATAGATAGATGCACAGGAAGTAAAATGGAGGGACATTCAGTTTGAAGGGATTTTAAAACAGCATGGAGAGAGAGAGAGAGAGAGAGAGAGAGAGAGAGAGAGAACAGGCTTTTTGTTTGTTTGTTTGTTTTCTTCTGTGACGTTGTCGGCTGAGTAAGAAAGCCAGATGGATGTTTTCTCTGCCTCTCTGACCTAGTAGGCTTTCACCCCCAGAATCTGGCCTCTGAATCTTCATTGGTAAAATAGAACATCTGAGATTTTGTTTAAAAATTACAAGAAATGAGCTTTGAAACCTTTTAGAAGATAAGTGTGTTTTCCCTTTGTAAAAGACAATCAGCAAACTTTATTTTCTATTTGGTACACATGAAATGGATTAAAAAACCCCTCTACTTTCTATTTAAGGCTATTACATGTCAAAGCCTAGGAGATGGAGGGTAAAAGAGAAAAGTGAAACAGTAATAGACAGTATCATCACTAACTAGAGAGAAAGGTAAAGTGTATAGATAATTTATCCCCATATTTCCATTTCTCTCTATATCCGTGTTATCTTTAATATACATTTGTACCCCCTTCCATCAGTAGGAAAACTAGTCCCTTTAAGCAGTGTACTCAGTACATTAGTTGAGGGAGAGAAATGATTGATGTGGGGGCTGAAGAGATAGTTCAGTGGTTAAGAGTGTTTATTGCTCTGGCAGAGAACCTGGTACCAGTTCCCAGCACAATAGCAGATGGCTCACAGCAACCTGTTAACTCCAGATCCAGGAACTTTGGTGCTCTCTGACCTCTGTGAGCACCTGGAAAGCCAGTGGCACACATTAACTCATACAGGCACATAAATACACATAGATTCAAATTCTTATTTAAAAAGGATATGGGCACGGGACTGAAAAGGTAGCTCAGTAGTTAAGAGCACGGGCTGTATTTCCATGGGACCTGGGTTCCATTCCCAATACACATATGGTGGGTGACAGCTATCTGTAACTCCTCTTCAAGGAGATCAAATGCCCTCTTCTGGCCTTTGAGGGTACCAGGCATGCATTTGGTACACTGACGACACACATGCAGGCAAAATGTCCATGCATATAAAATAAAATAATTTTTAAAAAGGATATGTAGTACCTGTGTGTGTAGAAGAAAGCATGGAAAGTAATTCCTACTTCTTGTGTCAATTTTTAATTTAGTCAGGATTCATTTGTGCTACAGCAGTTAACTAACCACACCCTGGTAAATAGCCCAGCATCAAAGTGTATATGGGCAGAAGAAATAGGACTTTGATGGGGAAAAAAAAAAACAGAGAGGGAGGACAAAAATTTGGGTAAGGGAGGTGCGGTGGATTTAGAAGGAATTAGGAAAAGAGGAATGGAGATGATCAAAAAATATTATATAAAGTTCTCAAAGAATATTTATTTATTTATTTATTTATTTATTTATTTATTTATTTATTTAAAATTGTTTTATTACAGTTATTCACTTTGTATCCCAGCTGTAGCCACTTCTATTTTTTCCCTCCTATGTCCCTCATGCAATCCACTGATAAGGGAGGTCCTCCTCCCATTCTATCTGACCCTAGCTTATCAGGTCTCCTAAGGACTGGCTGCATTGTCTTCCTCTGTGGCCTGGCAAGGTTACTGTCCACCTCAGGGGGAGGTCATCTAAGAATCAGCCACTGAGTTCATGTAAGAGACAGCCCCTATTCCCCTTACTAGACAACCCACTTGGATGTTGAGCTGCCATGGGCTACATCTGTGCAGGGGTTCTAGGTTATCTCTATGAATGGTCCTTGGTTAGAGTATCAGTCTCAAAAAAGACCCCTATGCCCAGAGGTTATGGTTCTGTTACTCTCCTTGTGGAGCTCCTGTTCCCTCCAGGACATTCGATCTCCTCCATCTTTCATAAGATTCCCTGTATTCTGCCCAAAGATTGGCTATGAGTCTCAGCATCTGCTTTGATAACCTGTTGGATAGAGTCTTTCAGAGTCCCTCTGTGCTAGGCTCCCATCCTGTTCCCTGTTTTCTCCCTTTTCCAATGTGCATTCCATTTGCCTTTCTGAATGAGAATTGAGCATCTTACCATGGGTCTTCCTTCTTGCTTAGCTTCTTTAGGTGTACAGATTTTAGTATGTTTATCCTATATTATATGTTTAATACCCACTTATAAGTGAGTATATACTATGTGAGTGTTTCTGCTTCTGGGATACCTCATTCAGGATGATCTTTCCAATTCCCACAATTTGCCTGCAAATTTCATGATTTCCTTGCTTTTAATTGCTGAGTAGTATTCCATTGTGTAAATGTACCAGAATTTCTGTTTCCATTCCTCTGTTGAGGGGCACCTGGGTTATTTCCAGTTCTGGCTATTATGTCCCCCTTTTCATTTCTGATTTTGTTGATTTGGATGATGTCTCTCTGCCTTTTAGTTACTTTGGCTAAGGGTTTGTCTATCTTGTTGATTTTCCAAAAGAACCAGCTCTTGGTTGCATTGATTCTTTGAATTGTTCTCTTTGTATCAAGTTTGTTGATTTCAGCCCAGGGTTTGATTATTTCCATCTGTCTACTCCTCTTAAGTGTGTTTGCTTCTTTTTTTTTTTTCTAGAGCTTTCAGGAGAGCCATCAATTTACTTGTATGAGATGTT